TTCTGACGTGTTAGTAACACAAGCAAACCCATATCTGAGTCTTTTGTTTCACAATGCCTTGTAATGTGTAAAGATCTGAATAAAATTCATCATTATACATAAAACAGGATTTGAATCTCCAAAGCTTCATATCCGTGCTTGGATTCTAAGAGGGAAACCAATATGGCGGCTCTTGGGAATATGGCGTTTCGTATCATTTTTTCGATGTACATTAAAATTCATCTTGACTGAGAGGCCTAGAAGAGTCACAAAAGTAATGAATGGAACTGAATGGACACACTTATTCAATTTAGTTTGTTTTGCCATTCAGGCTCGCCACAAAGCTGTATTTTTTATCATATAAATGTCTAACGTAGCCTGTTGGTTTAAATAGGCCATTTCCAAATTACCTTTAGCCTCTTTCTCAAAGCGAGTCTTTGATGCCCATCCGTTCATATGAAATTGACGATTCATTCACTTGTAAATAAAATTCATTTTCATATGAATGGTTGTGCACCTGGCCTCGCTTTGATAGAGAAGCTTAAGGCAACTCAGAAGTGGGTAATTATACGATACATTTATGCCGTAAGCAGTAATCATTATTATCTAGGTGAACAGATCAAATAAATTAATACATACGCCTCATCAAGTAGGTTTCCTTCCAGAGGTTCAACGAAGTAATCTGGGTTGTCGTCGACCTGGGCCACATCGTTGTAGACTGATATCGGGTACAGCTCGCCTCGAACCTGACATTAAGACCAGACACTGATATGAATGCTTTAATTTAAAATCATCATTAATTTCAGTAATACTTCATAAGGAGCAAACTTATTCCAACTTTCTATACATCTTAAAGGAGCTCAGTCACGGTATTTTGAGTTATATTGTCCATGTGCAAAATTACCTTTAAATTGAAGGAAACCTGAAAAGAACAAGGATGGTCACGGATGGACAAGATTAAGACGAATTGCAAACAACCAATTTCAACAATTCAGGCTAAACTTTTTAAGAATTGCAAACCGTTAAGACCGTGACGTCGCTCCTTTAAACTTTAATTCATGACACCCTTGTTCTCAGGCTCTCTCTCAACAGTATCCAATTTGTATCAAAACCAGAATTGACGACGTTGGTTTTTGCGCGGGTTGGCCATATCCTATTTTTTTGCCCCCTTATATTCACGCGAACGATTTACTCATCACAAGCGACATGACATACTTTTCATCACAGATTCGATATGATTCACCACAAATCCGATGCGTTATTTCATCATCCGTACATTTTAGTAAATATCTTCCAACGTAGATCTATGCAATTCGTTTTATTTGATAGAACAATGATACTCCGCTATCGCAAGATATGAAAAAAAATTACAAAGAAAGTTGGAAATCTTACCACTCCTCCATGAACCAACATGAAAGCCAAAAAACTCGCCAAAATCATTTTTCAAGAATCTGTAAATGCAAATGAAAGTTGTGATTAGTCAAGAAGAATTTAGACGGCGAAACTGGAAATGATGTTTTTAGTGAGAGGTGAGGTCCATCGGGGTTCAGTTGCAAACAAAGAGAAGAAAGAGAACATGACAGTGGAACCTGGTTAATGGGAACACCAAAGGGACACGCTAAGTGTCCGTATTATATTAAACGGGCTCTCAGAACTGATAAGCGTCACAGACGCGTGCCCACATAAAGACTGAAGAATTCAACTTTTAAGCAACAGAATGATGTTCAATGCTTTGTCTGCAATTTAACTTCAAACGCAAAAAATCTTACGCTTATTCCAATAATTACTCGGCTCGCACTCAAAGGTGATGTTCTCTGGTCAGTTGTAAACGCGGGTAACTTAACTTTAATGAAAAAGCATTAACCAATAAGAAGTTTTCATTTTATAATTGGATACAAATAGCGTATGATCGTTACAAATTAACACGAACAGCGACCTACAGTGGACGTAACCATAAAAATGCAAGCCAGAATGTATTTTATATATTTGTCTATTTTTTATTAAATTATTAAGGGAAAACTTGTTTTTTGGCGCAGGAAGTGTAAATTATCGGAGCAGCCATATTATAATCGTGAGATATTTCAGGATATTTCGATGCTGATCAAATTATCCTTTCTCCTTATATTGTGTTATCAACTGATACTTTAGAAGAAAACCTTGAGTTCATATTCCATTGAGTACCATCATCTTCGGGATTTTTCAGCTGTATTTACTGTTGCCTTGGTTCATTTTCTTTTGGTATCAACCAAGATAATGAAATAAAATTGAAATCTAGTTTTGAAAAGCGCTCTTCCTGGAAACAGTGATTCTAGATTCAATAACTTACCGGGATTTTGTTGTTTAATTTTACAGCTTAACCTTACTCATTTTGTCGCCCTTTTTGGTCATTTAAATACGGTCGTTAGATTGAAATTCATATTTTGATCACATTTACACAAAGGTGGGAAGAAACGTGCCCATACCATAAATAACATAGTGGTGGCTCCTTGAATATGTTTGAAGTTGAGAGCACGGACAGTCAATGATATGGAAAAAGGCGGGTCCAGAATATAGGAAAGGCCAACCCACGACGTTGGGATTGTACAATCGTTTTCTTGTAACACTTTATGCTGTTAGAAATTTTTAACAACAAATTTTACTTTTTAACTTAGTATTATCCTTGAGTTTTAATCAAAAGAAACAAAGATTGTAACTTTTATGTTACCCACGTTGGTAATACTTTATCTTGGTCAACCACCTAGGAATAGTTGGTTAAAATCTAACTAGAGAATCCTTTGGTCACTGTGTTTAGCTTCGAAGGCAAACTAAATACGCTAAATAGCTTTGCGCGCAATCGCAATAGCACTTAATGCGAACTGCGCATGTTATTGCATTAGCCTCAAACTAATGAATTGACAGTTTGACAGTGATTCGTAGATCATGTGGTTGTCTCTCCAGTTTAAGGATACCGTATACCTTTACAGGTGTCTCACGGCCAAGCGATGTTGCGCGTCCGGTTTGAACTGTAGATGCCTAAACCCCCATATCAAATTAAAGCTTACAGGGCTGGCCATCAAACTATATCAAGAAGTTTGAAATAAATGCTATAAATGCGACCGTCCAAATCACCTTTTGAAAACTACAAGTCGAAGTGAATTTTGTTTTTCGCTTTTTTCATTTGTTCCTCAGGTTCTGGACCCTGCGCATCGGGAGTCCACAACATTTTGACCACTGTGATAACGCATATCGTTGTCGATAAGAGTACAGATAACGCTAAAACCACATTCGATTTGTTAAATGGAGTGACCGAAGAAAAATTGCTCTCGGAGCAAAAATATTTCGAAATAAAAAAATCGCGTTTTTGTTGTTTAGATATCAAACTATAAGCTACAGTCCAAATTTGAGGGCAAACAAACAAATTTTCTTTGACTT